TTTAGTTATTTTTTATCACAATTTTCCATGTTTCTGTGTAGTTCTTATAATTTTGTTTTAGAAAAATTATACCCCTCAAAGTGATATTCTTAGTTTCAATTTTGTTATTGGTACTTGTGTGAACATCTTTTTAAAATTTTTTTTTGGGGGGGGGGGTCCAGTCGTGGAGCCTGAACTCTGGGCATGGGCACTGTCCCTCAGCTCTTCAGCTCAAGGCTAGCGCTCTACCACTTGAGCCACAGCGCCACTTCCAGCTTTTTTTCTTTTTGCTTATGTGGTGCTGGGGAATCGAACCCAGGGCCTCATGCATGCAAGGCAAGCACTCTACCACTGAGCCACCTTCCCAGCGCTTGCGTGAACATCTTTACAAAGCATAAGGCTTTTGTTTCTGTTGAATTTGAATTAAGTGATGACCTAACATTTCTACTAGCATAAAACTCCTGGACTAAGTGGAGTCTTCAGCAGTAAACTACTTGGAGGGAATGTGGGGTTGCCTTTTGCGTTTCTTTCCTCTTCCTCCTTCCTGTGGCCACAGGTTATTGTGAAGACCAGCCTTCACAATACATAAAAGGGCTTAGGGGTTGGGGTACCACTCAGCGCTACTGGGGTTTGAACTCAGAACCTTGCAATTGGTAGGCAGACACTCTTACCACTTGAGCCATGCACATTTTTTTATGGAGTTCCCAAGTTAGTTTTAAACTAGTTCAAGGAAGAGGTGATTGGCTTCCCTTACTTGATTGTGGCTCTTTGGGAGAAAGAACTGCATCTGGCTCACACCCATTCACTAAGCACTCAACAGTGCCAGAGACACAACAGACACATGGCAAAAATGTAGGGATTATAACAGGTAGGAACTAGGCTGCTGTAAGATGCTAGACAAGCTAAGACTTCCTAAAATCTGACTATGAGAACAGACTAAGGGAAAGAGCAAATAAAGGAAATCTGCTTATCAAGGAGGCCCACGTCCGTGTGAACAGAAGCTCTCACTAGACTTCATGCCTATACCAGAACTCGCATAGCCATCAAGATCTTTGCTGATTCTGATGAAGACAGTGGTGGAAAGGAAGGCCAGATAAATGAGGTGTCAATTGGGAGGGAAAACTGGGTCATAGAAAGTCAATCATCCCTGGAAATTGGGTATACTTAAAAGACAACTTCAAATAGCAGTTACGTTCCAGAGATACATTAACACTTTCTCTTTTTAATAAACCAAACAGCTGTTCTCGGCACCTGTTTTCAAGCTGCTTTATCAAAATATTAGTGTCATGTAAACTTGTGGAATGACCTCACTTCTCACATTTGACTTTCTAAAAAAAAATGTACTATTCATGGCAGCAATTTTTTCTTTCAAATATTAACCTGCTTCAATCTTTGCCTTAGTACATTTTTTAAAAATTGTAAAGATGTTGTCAAAAGAGCAGAATTCTCTATTCAGATATACTTGTAGGTAAATCATTGACTTTGGTAATAGTCCTTACTAGTCCTAATTAAGGCACTGATCCTACTTAAAACCCAGGAGGTGTGAGACACAGGTATTCATACAACAGTAGTCTAGAATGCTGTGAATGTTCTCCCAATTCGATCACCAAGAGAGTTCCCTTCACAGAATCATTCATTCATCGAGCACTGTGCTGGATGCTAAGTACAGATGTAAAATAGAGATTCTCCATTTTCAAAGACTTGAGTCTCTGTATGGAAAGAAAGACTAAGAGTATAACCCATGCTTTGGTAGGGTTTATGTACCATAGGGAGACAGTTAACTTCTCCTTAGGTCCACAGGGGAGGCTTCCAGAGATTGAACAAATCTTAAAAGTTAGTCCTCTGGTAGATGAAGAAAAGAAGATGCACATAAAAGCAAGTAGTATGGCACAAGCTACTGAGGTCGTTTACAGGAATGTAGAGCAAACTAGGAGTAAGAGGCAGGAGTCAGGGGTGGAGAGGTAGATGGAAGTTAGGTCATTCAGGCCTGATACATGAAGCAGAAATACTTGGATTTGGGCTGGGAGGGTGGCTCAGTGGTAGAGTGCTTACCTTGCATGGATGAGGCCCTGGGTTTGATTCCTCAGCACCACATAAGCAGAAAAAGCCGGAAGTGGTGCTATGGCTCAAGTGGTAGAGTGCTAGACTTGAGCTAAAGAGATGAGGGACAGCGTCCAGGCCCAGAGTTCAAGCCCCATGACTGACAAAAAAAAAAAAAGAAAAAAGAAAAAAAAAGAAATACTTGGATTTTATCATCAGGTAATGGGAAGCCATTTAAACAAAGAAATGCTTCAAGAGACACAGTTTCTGTGGCAACCTGGAAGATACATTCAGACCACAAAATCTTACACCAAGGAAAAGGGCATCTGGGCAGTGAGAACTGAAGTGAATCATGGCGTAATGAATAGCAAATCAGGGAATGACTGGAAGGGATCTGTGCCTTGAGTTGAGCAAATATGGGTGGGTCAGCAGTTCAGAATTCTGAGCAGGAGATCTGGCTTTGGTAGGCCTCAGTAAGGAGTCTGTGTCCATAATGTTTTGGAAGTACGAGATCATCTGATGCTGTAAGCTATTTTAAGAACATCTTAACTCCAGTTCCTTAGTCATAGGCACATATCAATTCCTTATGGGCTACCTGTAGCTAGCCGTTGCTCTTATCAATGGCAGATACTGGACCATTCCCATCCCCAAAGAACACACTACTGCAGACTGTTACAACATGAGTTTTGGTCTAGAGAGGAGGTGGTGGGATGGGAATAATGGAAGAGAGGAAGAAGGACCTTTGAAGGAAACAGAACAAAACAAAGAGCCAAGTTAGAAGGGAGAAGGCAGTAGCGCAGACACAAGGGTGATACTTTACATCTTTGGCTGTGACACTGAGACAAGCTCTGAGTTATTCAATGCCTCCCACCCCCTGCATTATATATAGAGACAGATACAGATATAGCTGCTTTCCATGCTAAGTCTCCAACCTCTCAGAAAAGAGACTGACTGAAGGCTTGTCACGTTTCTTCCCATGAAAATTACTGACAAACTCAATTGTACTTACATAATTGTGTAGAATCTCAGGCTTAACTCCCTAGAATTAAAGAACACACTATCTTTCTGTAAACTGACTTAATGAGTTAAGTTTTTGTTCAATTTGTCAGGCACTGGGCTTGTTCTATTGGAGTCATTGGAGTCAGCTTATTTGCTTCAAAGATCCTCTGATAAGTACTACCATACTACACTAAGATACAAGGAAACTAAAAACTAAAGAGCTCAAAAAAAGGTATTAATGTCTCACAGCTTATGACAAGGGATCCTTGAATTCAAACTCAGGTGAGTGTCATCCAAAGTCACTACTTATAGATATAACCTCAATTTTCTTCAGAGCCCTCCTAAAAATTTACTGCAAAGCTATTACAGTCCGCCGAAGAAAAACATGATCTCAATGACCCTCCTAAAGTATGTGTACAAGTGGGAATTATTACATGCAAGGAGAAAAGTTACTCCTGTCAAGATGCTCAGCAAACATGTGAAATACAAAAGCAGTATTTACAGAAGAGACATCAGCTTCACTTGAAGATGATGGATCTTCAGGTGTTTCAATCCTTCAGTTTTACACACAGAATTTATTAACTACTTCAGTATAGAAATATCTGATATGTGCCCTCTAGATGACAAATTTAACTGGGAAGATTAAATTCACAACGGATTTCATGTCCATAAAAATATGTTATGGGAATGTTTTGAGAAGGATGTCTTACTTTTTAGCCATGTATTTTTCTTTTAGTTACAGTAGAGTTGCATGATGAACCATTTTTGTGTTTTTTTCTGAAATAATTTAAATCAAGACCAATAGAGTATATACTGCTTAGCAACAGCCTTTTCTATATAAAACCCATTTTGGTCCAAGTACTTCCATAAGCTGTGTGTTTAAAGTCAGCACTATACATATGTGTACATACATGTGGTTATTAAAGTGAGTTATGCTCTGTCATCAGAGGTAGGAACCTAAGGCAGAGTACACCAGCTAAATGTCATGACTTTAAGTGATCGAATGATTATGACATGACTGGTTTCATTTGCAATATATAGTGAAGAAGAAAGTGTATGGTAAAGCCAAATGCTTAGATATTACCACTATATTAATAAAAATATTTATTCAAATATTTCAATATTTGAATGTGTCAGTGTTAAGGTAAAAACAATGATGTGATTGCTAAATGTATGTAAGATATGATTGCTTACATTGGTTTATGTTGCAATCCTAGTCAACCAAGACAAAAATCGATAATTTCCTTCAAATTTAGGAAAATAAAACCCCAGTAACCCCAAAAAATCCTTAGAGGAAATAACTAAATCATCACACAAAGTCTTTAGAACATTATATTTCATAAAAGACAATGATAAAAAAGTACAAACATTTCCATGAGAAGCAAAAAAAAATGAGAGTACAAGAGATCACTAGCAGTTATTTCAGTGCATTAATGTAGAAGCCTTTCATATCTGGATAAAGAAAAACTTAAGTACACTTCCTCTGTCTGACAACACTATGATCATTTTGTTTCTCTCAATTGGCATACTTACAAATCCAAGGCAATAAATCTAGAGTGCTATTTATCTGTAAAGTATGTAAAGAATACTACGGAGGAAAGCAAAGGTCAAATTAAAAAAAACACACACACGCAAAATTTGCTTTTCATTCATAGAGACTCTCCTAAAGAATACTGTATTGGCTATTTTTCCACTTTACTTTAGAATACAGTGTTTTAGCCAGGATGGGATATTAAATTTTTAATTCATAGTTTTGTATTTGTATAATATAAAAAAGGATTCTTAGTGAATTCCTTTTCAGAATATACAAACAAAAATTTGAATTAAATTTTTTTATTGTGAAAATACTGTACAGAGGGGTTACAATTACATGGGCAAGATAATGAGTACATTTCTTATCAAGCATTGTAGCCTCCTCCTTTGTTTCCCTTTCCCATCCCTTCCCATCCTCCTCCTGTCCCCCCACCCAATCATCCCCCCACCAAAGTTGTAAAGTTCGTTTTAACACATTTATAAGATTATTTCTTCGAATCAAATTTTTTAATTTTGCTCATCAAATCCTAGTTTAACAAAGAAGTTAATGATATCTTATCAGTGAATTAGATACAATTTTAACAAATGTGTGTCCTCCCCTTTCTTTTCTACAAACAGGGCTGTAAATCATGACCTCTTTCTCTAGTGAAAGGCACTATATAATTTTCTGAGTGCCACAGTGATCTTCTAATATTTCTATGTAATGTAGGTTTCATGACTTTGAGACTGAAAAAAATAAAATAATCAGAGAATGTCTTCAAAATTTCAAGGTTTTAACTTGCTTGACTTGTTTAGAATAAAATCATACTTCTAAATAGTCACATCTAGCATTGGACCTAATACAGAGTGGATAATTAATACATGGTTCATTAATAAAACAACCCAACACTAAACAGAAGACTGATTACTTTTGCAATGCACTCATTCATCTTTAGGGAACAGATTTATTGTCACCTAATGAAGGTAAGCTATCACTTCATGGAAACAAAAAGGTCAGTGTTCATAGCCAAAAATAACTTTAGATCTGCACTTAAAAAAAATTATAAGGTAGTTTTTATAGGATGACACACCATATTCAAAACTGTAAAAAGCAAAATATTTGCATACAACTCCTAAAAAATTAATGTCAGACTAAACCACAAAAATAAGGCAGATTCTGAATCCCCTTGAAAGTATGAATGTATGTCAAAATGAAAAGACATCAGAAAGTAGACAGCCCTACATTAAAATGAGAAAAAAATCATGTTTCCTGAGTAAGACTCAGAAACAACACTAATTCTCCCCACCACTACACACTTCAGCATTGGTAGGTTAATTATGTCCCTGTGCCCTGCTACCTTGTTAACTGTAAACAACAATGTTAACACGGTCATTTTATCTTCTTACATTTCACCAAATTAAAAAAAAAAAACTACATTAGCTATAGGGACACAAAATGAATGGACAACATAGTTAAGTACAAATGTTTGTACTTTTCGGAAGGCTTGATTTTTCTTTTTACTATTTTGAGTACCACAAATAAAATGGCAGAGAAATATTTTGGAAATATTTCTAAGAAATAAATATGGAAAATTCTGTCAGGTATATTACAGAGAAACTATTTCCTTCAAGTATATGATTCTCAGTTATTTTATGATTTCATTTATGGTCATTTGTGTTACTAAAATTGGTATAGAAAATGGTCCTGGAAAATTAAATCTACAACCTGAGATACATAGCCGTATTTCCATTTTAGGTGAACAACTCAGAGGCAAATTTTATTCAAACATTTCTCAGATGGAGGCATCTTATCATTCTCCATTATTTTCAAAGATTTATTTTATAGAATATATAAGACTTTAAGTTTGTGAAAATATTTTATGATTTTTTTTTAAAATCCTTATAACTGGTCATCTTCAAAGTTAAGAACACTGTTTTGAATTTTTAATGGAAAGTTTTGTTCAATCTTAAGGTAAATCTACTTGCTATTAGGTAGTCAGACCTGCTTCCACAAGTATCCCATTATCAGTGCATCTAGATAATTGATCATGTATTGTAAGGTAACTGTAGAGGGCCTGGGGTGAGTCTCCAGCACCATGCGCACACGCACACGCACATATACATATACACACAGGCACACACACACGAAAGATAATTCTATGACATTATACTGTAAGTGAAAAAAAATATAGTTTGTATGAAACTGGCTGACATTATAAGGGTCATTTTTAAAGGTGAAACTGTGCAAGTCTGATAATTAAAATTTGTTTTTAATCTATGAGGCATTTATCTTCATAAAAATAGAACATTTAACGTCTTATCCAATAGTATAATTCATCTGTATAAGTACTACTTAGGCTCTCTATAGCTTCTTCTTAAAAAAAACTAATTTAAAAAATGAATATATTTTGTTTTGGCTCTTCTGACCTGGAAATAATAAAAGTGCTGTTCACTATGAAATTTAAAAAAAAAACTGTATAAACACACAAGCGTGGGAGCGTTTTTGAGGCACAGAATCCCTAACACACCAGAGGTCATAACAGACATTAACATAAAGAGGTCCTTTATATCATGTCACATCACAACATTTAAGATTTTCTTGGTAATACCATGCAATATGCATAAACAACATGGTTGTGATTCAGCTAAATCTGGTAAGCTTGCAAGCAAGGAAAAAATAGGTAATCCTGGCAGGAAAATTAGCTGCTTGAGTCTTTTCTTCTTTCCCTTTAAAGCCATCAAAAAGCTAAGCCTTCTTCCACGCGAAAGGCTGGAGGTCTAAAGCTGAAAACTAGTATAACAGTTTACTGTATTCACTGTCAATTACTGACAGTTCCTTCATTTTTACACAAGGGTTACACTTTGTTTAGTGACATAAATTTACAGTAATTTTCCCCATGCAAATAAAAAAATGTATTATAAAAGACCAACGGAAGCATAACCAATTACATGCAAAACTGCAACACAGCTTATTGTTCAACAATTATTTAAACACATTGATTTATATCACATATGTACAAAATATGTTTAAATGGAAATAAAAGCATTCTCTTAAATTATAGATCCGAGTATAAAAAATTTCTTTTTGTATAAGGAGCTCTCTTAACTTCCAATCTTCAGCACTGGCTTCCGGTTCTGCAGTGTTCGCCGTGTCGTGGAGTGTACCACGACAGGGCAGGTGGAAGAGGGGGACTTTACACAGTGCCAACACTGTGAGCCCCAGGACTGCTGGCTCTTCTCATGGTCCAGGCACTGACCTCCACTGAGAGTACACTCCAAGTACATGATCCAGCATTGTGGTGCATCGTGCCATGAGAGCTACTTCTTCGTCTTTTTTTTTTTAATAGTCCTCAATTGGAGCTAACTCTGGTGTGAGGTTTACAGATATATTTGTATACAACCTATCAACCAGTATTCTTGGCGTATATAATAAATTGTTCAACCCATCGATGTACTGACGCTCTTTAGAATACCTTAGTAATTTATACCTAAGTGTTAGAAGAAAACACAAAAAAGTAACAGAAACATGTTAAAAAAAAAACTTAATGCTGAATATGATCTAAGTTCTCTAACAATTAAAACATGTGAAGTCCTTTACAATTTCAGGTTCTCATGAGCATTTTCTTTATATCTCTGAACTATGATTCTAAATTAGCATTTTACTACTCAGAAATGCCATTTGAAAAAAGTAATTTTTCTTGCTTGCTTATTGATTTATTCATTTACTTATTTATTTAATGCTGTCTTGGGGCTTGAACTCAGGGCATAGGTGCTGTCCCTGAGCTTTTTTTTCCTCAAGGTAACAACTGTACCACCTGAGCCAAAGCTCTACTTCTGGTCTTTTGTCAGGTGATTGGAGGTAAGACTCTCTCAGACTTTCCTACTCTGGCTGGCTTAAACTGCAATCTTCAGATCTGTCTCTTGAGTAGCCAATATTACAGGTATAAACCACCAGGACCTAGCTTAATTTTGCATGTTTACAACTTAGACATTCTTAAAAAAATAAGATGTTTTGTGTCAAGGAAGCATTTTAAAGACTAGTTAATTGGATTCATTAGTATAGCATTGTGTGTGTGTGTGTGTGTGTGTGTGTGTGTGTGTGTGTGTGTGTGTGTGTGTACATCTGCATGTGTCTGTGTGAGACTGAGTATATAAAAACATCTTCAAAACAACACAAAAATGCCTTCCTTCTATAAACAATGTTCTCTCTCATAGATTTTGGGGAGGGGGATACAGGTATTTTTTAAACTATTATATATCAAAGAGTTTCATATCCTTGTTATCTGAGGACATTAAACTTACCGTCCTAAAAACTGTACTTCCCCTCGATGGTGATGAGGAATGGACTTGTACTTTCCTAAGTCCCCCTCTGGTCTGGTGACGTTATATCCAGCATAATGAACTCTACAACACAAATACAGAATGGATTACATGAGGTCAACTTCAAACTTCAAAACGTACATGCTGCCAATGATTTTAGGTGTTCTTCATGAAAGAAAAGATGAAATAGCATTAGGAACCTCAAAAATTTTCTGTCCCAAAGAATCCTTTCCTGGAGTTGGCAAATATAATTTAACTCACAGAAATGAAATATACACATCCTATTAGTAAGCAATTCTGAATCTAAACATACCTGTTCCAAAGGTCATCATCTTCTCCTCCCCATCCCCAGAAAGCGTTAGGAAATCCATTGATCTTTCTAAACTGTTCCACAGTCAGTCCACTTACACCACCAAAAAACTCTTTATAAGGAAGACTGAAAAAGAAAGCAGGACACAGTATTCTAAAAATGAAATCCTAACAGTCTGCCACACAAGATCAAACTTTTGGTCTCTTACGAGCTTGGCAAAATACACCCATGTTCTCAAAAAAAAAAAAACACTGGACTGATCAAATATTGTTCTGGAAAATGTGAACGGAGAAATAAAACATTTTCATATCTATAGTGCAATAAGTGCTACAATTAATTTGCTAGAGTAATAACATTATTTAAAAGAAACTGGATTTATTAATGCATAAATATAAATTAGAAAACTAGTATTTTACTTCAAAATGACTAGCTGGATTATATTCATAAAATACTCATGGATATTTACAAATATATTTACATACTGATATCTGGAGAGATTAACTATATTTTTTAATTTATATTTTATTTTCCCTACCTTTCCCTAATTTATATCCCAAGTAATTGGTCAAATCATGCAGTATTTCTGAGCTGTATTTTTAATAATCTACATTATTAGTTCAGATATGGATTGGCTTTCTGATGTTAAAGTAACTCCCCAGACCTGCAATACCCAATCAACTCCAGTGGTTGTGAAGGTACTTCTTAGGAATGGCAATGCTTAAGAAGTCAGGTGAGTATGCAGCACCACAGAGGAAAAAGGATCATGAACAGCAACCAAAATTAAGACAAGAGCAATCTGCCTGGCTCTAGAGCAAGTCTGTCAGAAAATAAGCAAGGAAGGATTTAAGGTTTTGCGAAGGACTTAACTCACTCAGTGTGAAGAAAAGCACTACATTCCAATGGACATGAATGGTTTAGCCATTAGAAATTGTTATCTTCAAGTATAAAAATTAATTTAGAGCCAGGCACAGGTTGCTCACGCCTGTAATCCTAGCTACTCAGAAGGCTATGCTCTGAGGATTGCAGGAAAGTCCGTGAGACTCTTCTCTCCAATAAACCACCAGAAAACTGGGAAGTAGCACTATGGTTCAAGTGGTAGAGTGCTAACCTTGGGCTGAAGAGCTGAGGGACAGTGCCCAGGCCCAGAGTTCAAGCCCACAACCGACCAAAAAACAACTTAATTTAGAATTCTTAATTTACATGACTTTTTTGTATTCTTTGATGAAAGCCATTTAACACTGGGTCTAACTTGATTTCACTAATCTGACCAAAATTAAGTTTCCAGAAGTTCTAAAACACAATTCCAGGTTTCTATGTCCCAAGAAATCACAATGGCCTCCACTAAAGCAACCCCAGACTCGGAAGTTCAGATGAGGAGTAACACGACATATGGTGATGAAAAATGCCAAAAACAAACCAAAACCCCAAATAATCTTCTGATGCCAATTCATCTGCTCTGGCCTTTGAGGATTTGTGCTTCTCTCTGCTCTGCAGATCAGATGCTACCAAAACTGTGATTTAAGTCCATAAAAATTGTGATCTCTTTCCCAGATTAGACTTGTACTCTTGGTCAGCTTCCGTTATTCTCACAACTATGCAGCCATTTACATTTTAAGATGTCTTCATGCAATGTCAAGGAAAACAGTAAGATTTGTTTCTTATAATTATAGAGAAGACCAAGAATGCACAGTTTAAGAAGACATACTTCAGAAGAAGGTCTTTCATGACCCCAAACTATCTCTAAGGTAGTAAGAAATAGAAAGAGCCAATATAGGTTACACAGCTACCAAGTGGGCATATTCTTGTTCCAGGCACAGCCATATAGATAGGCAATAGCATTACAACGAAAAAGAAACCAAACTTCACAAGTACAAGAGACTAGATAAGTTCCACCAAATTTTAAATATATATGTGAGGGGGGAGAGAGGGTGGGAGATGGAAAAGGATGGGAAGGGGAAACAAAGAGGAGGCAACAATGCTCGGTAAGAAATGTACTCATTATCTTGCCCATGTAATTGTAACCCGTGTGTGTGTGTGTGTGTGTGTGTGTGTGTGTGTGTGAAATGTACTCATTATCTTGCCCATGTAATTGTAACGTGTGTGTGTGTGTGTGTGTGTGTGTGTTTTTGCAGAAACTAGATTCCTCTCTATCACACCACACCCAAACCTCTTTGTAATACAAAGTGCCAAGATGGATGACCAGGCACTCCATGTCCTAGCTCCCAATGAGGATAGACTGGAGCTAAAAATGGTACTCTTTAGGATCCTGAGCTGTTTTAGCATTAGGCACATAGTGCTGTTCCAAAGCCAAAAAAGCTCCAACTGTACATCATATGGTATCAGAAATAGTGTGCACTACTTACATATACATGTATTTATCCAGCTTAGCTGCAAAGTGACGTGGCATCTCTCCACATCCATAATAGTTTCGGTCATTTTCAGGGAGATGATCCACATCATGGAAGATCACACAGTCCCAGACACTGTCTTTCATGGCCTCTTTGAAGCCCACGTTGAAGAGCATTGCACGATTGAAAGGTTGTGTGCCCGTCTTCACAGAGCAAATATAGAAAGAGAAATAGAAACGTACTTAGGTTTTGTCATCTGATGGCTTCCAATTTGTTGAATCATTAAGTAACAATCATATCTCAATCAAACAGACAAGTCAGGATTTTCAAATACAGGCAGGCATGACAATCATAGAGGAAACATTCTGAAAAATGTGCCATTAGATAATTTATTCAATACATGACTATTACAGGGTGTACATACACAGACTAAGACAGCTAGGATAACAGTAGGCAAGATAACTTTATGGGGATGCCATTGTGTGGTACATAATGCTATACCACTTGATCATCACATAATGTTGTATTTTAATAATGGAGAACTAGTTAAGTAGGCTACTGGTTCCAAGTTATAATCATATAAAATGGAATTTGTATTTCTGCTTTATTTCAAATATACCAACTCATATATTATAACCAGAAAAAATGTAAAATAAAAATACTACCTTTAAAATGACATTAAAAATAATGTTTGGTTTTTAGCAATGCTTTCTGTATACCATCAGATTTAAAAATAGAGGGCTGGGGAAGTAGCTCAATGATTAAGCACTTGCCTAACATGCATGAGGCCCTGGGTTCCATCCCTAACACCAACAAAGGAAATAAAAAATGATGCAGGAAACTAAAAATGACACATAGATCATGACCCTTCTCTTGTATAACAAAGCCAAATAAGTCTAACTTTCTATTATTAATGTTTATAATAGACATCAAGAACACTTTAAAGACAACTGGAACTTAACAAACAAAGCATGCATATTTCATATTATAACCATTTTCCTTTAGTAGGGAAACTGCACAGGCAACCACTCCTATGTTCATTGTTTGTCCTTCCTTCCTTCCTTCCTTTCTTCCTTCTTTCCTTCCTTCTTTCCTTCCTTCCTTCCTTCCCCTCCCTTCCCTTTCTTTCCTCCACCTCTCTCTCTCTTTCCTTTGCTTACTAAGACTTACTATTGTGTCTTTATCAGGAGCACTTTTACTTATTACACAAAACCCAACTCCCTACATTGCAAACATTTTCCTTCCTTTATAGTAAAGAATATTAAGGAGCACTAGCAATTAAAAAAAACTTTTATTCCACTTCTAAAGAAAATCACAAAGCATTTACCAATGTCTTAGCAACATTTCTCAAAATCATTTCCTATATACACATATAAGACAGGAAGGAATGAGACTGGATAAGATGTATTATTACTACAATACTGCCTAAGGAGTGAGGTCTTGCACTTTATCTGAAGTCACAGAAATCACTTTATTGCTTATAGCCTCTTCTTCACCAGTGAAATAGAATAAAATGAAAGGGAGATCAATTCTAACATTATTACTGGTATCTCAAAATCACCTTTGACTTTCCTTTAAGGTCTTAAAATGTTTTAAATAAATGTGGACATAATATTTAAATGTTAATAAAAAGAATAAGAATTTCTAACAATGAAAACTCTAGCATGTAATTTTTAAAGATTACAATAAAACTATATTGGGAGACTAGTGCTAGGCAGTGGGTATGGTGGTTTAACTCCTCAACCTCCATGACACAAAGCCAGACAGTTCCCAAGGTTAAAAGCAAGAAACAGAACTTCTATTGTGCTAAAGTATGGAGATAAGTGCTGGAATTGCTAGAAGAGCTGCAATGTATTATTACTCTTGACTGAAGAAGATGGGCTTTAACAGTTGAGTGAACTGATTTTGTTGTCTTTATCAAACCAAGATTAGCCCTAGTTTTCTAAGTATATATTATTTTGTTAAAAAGGACCAGTCAATAAGGTCTGAGCAATTAGTAACTGATGGAATCATTGAAACTAAATCATCCATCAGCTCCTCCCAAGCTCACTTCCCAGTGCCCTCACTTTTGTCTTGCAGTCTGGACTGGCTGCTACCAAATTGGACTTCTACTTCATGCCCTATGATCATCCATGCCTTTTATTTGGTTTACTTGCTTTGCTGAGTAACCTCCTTCAGGAGCTTCCTAAGTAAGGGCCAAGAGGAAATGTGCACTCTCTCTGTTCTTGTGGTTTGATTTACAAGATTTTTTTTTCTTTCATTTCAATTTTTGAGTTTGGAGAAGAGGTAAACCCCTGCACAACCCTTCATATTTAACTAGAATAGTTCAGCTTTTCATCAGTTGTTGAGCATTTCTCCTGGGCACCAATCCAGAAGAAGAATTACTCCTCTATTTCATAAGTGAAGATATTATTAGCTCAAAACCACACACTATCAAATGTATGCCCCTGAATTAATATTGACAAAGACTGAGATTCCTCGACTTAAGAGGCTTGAAAATTAAAATATAGATTTTTTTTGCAAAGAGGTTTTCATCATATTCACAAAATAATTCAATGGTGCTGATGATTTTAACATAACAGAAAGTTATCATTATCTTCCAGGACATTATGGACAATTGATTGAAGCGTCAAAGAGTGACACTAACAGTTGACAGTAATGATCTTGAAATCTAGTATCATGATTGTTATGGAAGCAGCTTTTTGTTTTACTTATTACCAGATAAAATAGGTCAATTTTCATAGTTTATGTGCTGCATTAAAAAATACACTGGCTTGAGCTGGGTGCAGTGTCTCACACCTATAATCCTAGTTACTCAGGAGGCTGAGATCTGAGGATCACGGTTCAAAGTCAACCCAGGCAGGAAAGTCTGTGAAACTCTTATCTCCAATAAACCACCAGAAAACTGGAAGTGGTACTGTGGCTCAAGTGGTAGAACGCTCACCTTGAGCTGAAGAGCTGAGGGACAGCGCCCAGGCCCAGAGTTCAAGCCCCAAGACCAAAAAAAAAAAAAATTACACTGGCTTAATTTAATCATTATATTTACAGGGAAAAAACTTAAAGAATTCTTTATATACCTATAAGTATTTTAGATGAGTGGTATTTCCACAATAAAAAAAGCAGATACAAAAATCTGAGAATCTTTTTCTTTAAAGAGACAGATGCAGAATAAATCACTAAGGAAGAAAAAACTATAAATACCTTAGGAATAAACATTTAAATAGTCTGCTACCAAATATAATAATAGAATAATGCAATCTGGGTACATAGTCTACAACAGAAAGTCAATGTTCTTTTACCAAGAAAGATGGCTTTCAAATGAAAAACTGAAAACAGGACAGCAAATGTTCACTATGTGCCACTTGGAAAAAAAATGTGGTTCTGATTCAGGTTCCCTGCAATGCCTAATAATGCTGATCAAATATTAATTTTCAGGGTTAACTAGCACCCACACCCTAGTACAAAGAAATCCTCAACCAAGAATCATACAGATCTGGATACCATAAACACACACACACACACACACACACACACACACACACACAGAGTCCATCTTCCCTTGCTCAAGAATCATCCAGATCTGGATACCATTAAAAATAAAACCACACACACACACACACACACACACACACACACACACACACACACACACACACACACACACACACACACACTCCTTCTTCCCTTGCTCTATGGAAATCCATGGGTTGAAAATTGAAATGTTCCTTCAAAACTGAAATGTTCTTTCAAAACTGAACACAGTGAATGTATCTGAGGTCACTCTGGAGTGCCACATATAATTTAGAACACACCCCAATTTGAAGCCCAGATGACTGTACCAAGTGTACAATGTCACTAAAATACGTCAATGTTATCTTTTCTCAAACATAATAACTGATTAACCTGTTTGACCAAATTTGACTAAGTTTGACCTGCTTGACATTTACTATAAGGTAATTACAATTATTAAAAGAAAAAAAGTACAGATCCAATCCGAAATCTTTTATTCAACTCTAAATCAAAGGATTTAAATTACCTGATTATCCTTAAACTTTTTTTTGTCAGTCCTGGGGCCTGAACTCTGGGCCTGGGCACTGTCCCGAGCTCTTCAGCTCAAGGCTAGCACCTATCACTTGAGCCATAGAGCACTTCCAGCTTTTTCTGCTTATGTGGTACTGAGGAATAGAACCCAGGGGCTCATGCATGGAAGACAAGCACTCTACCACTGAGCCACCTTCCCAGCCCCTATCCTTAAACATTATTAACTAAAGCCATAGTTTAAGTTGTACTCAGTAATTATCTTAAAAAATATTCTCACCTGCTCAATGACATAAAAGGCAAATTCCAACCGCTGTTTCTGAAGCATTGGAATCAGATGCAAGAAAAAGATTGGCAGATGTTCATGACGATTGCGGAAAGGAATGAGAACGGCCACCTTTAAAACAAACAGTCACGTCAGTAAGTAGATATAGCAGTAAATCCTAGAAGCAAAGATAACACTGAACCTTGGAAGCACCCAAACAGCCTACACAACAAAATGAGCAAGACCAGTAAAGCTGAAATTTCTAAGTTCACGTAAGTGTTTAAATTCACACACAACAACATACACTTGACAGTGAGCACTCACAGGCTATTTGTGTTCTTGGGAAGCAGGGGAGGTTGAGAGGGGTTCTGGAGGTCAATCAAAAGATGTGGTCTTCACTGGAGAGTTCTAAGAATGACAGGTTGAGATTTGCTGGTGGTAAAGACAACTGTGGTGCAAGTATGAAGAGTGGAATGGAGAAGAACAAAACTGGACTCAGGAAACTAACACAACAGTCCACGTAAAGAGGTAAATGGGAGCTAGAACTAAAGGGTGGGGTTGGGAAGAGAGCTATGTGGATTTTTAAGACACACAAGAGGAAACTATAGATTGGAGGTGAGGCGTGAGAAAGAAGGATGTACCAATATTAACTTTTAGGTTTTAAAGTTGATCATAAATATATTTTTGGAAGACACTATTAAGTGAAATATAACAGACATAACAAATGTCTCATGTTCTTACTAATATGTCTAAGTTAAAATAGCTGCTTCTCAAATGAGAGGAGAGCTGAAGGGTAGAAAAGGTAGGGGGAGAAGGAAATGAGAAAGATGGTGGAAGATCGAGACCAAAATGCAACTAGGTTAAGAGTAAGTCCTAGCATTCTGTAGCACAGTAGGATAACCCTACTTTTACAACAATCAATTACATATTTTATGATAAACTGAAAGAGTCCAAAGTCTCTAAACACTAAGAAGTGATAACTATACAAAAAGTCAGAAATGCTAATTAACTCTAATTTGATAATTATTCACTATCTGTACCGAGTTATTACATTGTAATTCATAAATAAGTACAAGTATATGTCAATTAAAAGTAAAAACAGAAATGCTTTGAGTTTTCAAATTGAGAAGAGGTGCTATGTAAATATGAGGTTCTATGTGAGTATCTTGCACAGAGACTCTCTTGAGAGATAAATTAGCAGAAACCAGAAATCAAATGTTTCAGTTTCAGCTGACCAAGAGTTCCACCTTACCCAGGTGTGGTGGTACACAATTGTAATCCTAGCACTCAGGAAGCTGAGAAACTCTAGTTCAAGGCCACACTGGGTTGCACAACAAGACCCAGCCTCAAACACCCCTTTTAAGATGAAGGCTCTGGAAAAATTAGGAATCCATGGAACATTCCTCAATATAATAAAGGCTGTGTAAGACAAACCTATAGCCAAAATTATACTTAATAGTGAAAAGCTAAAGCCATTTTCTCTAAACTCAGGAATGAGACAAGGATGTCCACTCTCTCCACTTCTCTTCAATTTAGTAATAGAATGCCTAACTATAGCAATAAGAAAAGATGCAAAGAAAAAGGGGATCCAAATAGGGAAAGCTGAAGTAAAACTCTCCCTTCTTTGCTGATGACATGATCTTGCATTTAAAGAACGCCAGATTCCACTCCCAAGTTACTCAAGCTGATCTGAAACTTTGGCAAAGTAGCAGGGTATAAAATTAACCCTTAAAAACCAATGGCTTTTCTGTATGCCAATAAGGAAAAGAGTGGGCTGAAATCAGGAAAGCAACTCCTTTTGTAATAGCCCCACAAAAAATAAAATACCTAGGAATTAACTTAACTAAAGAATTGAAGGACCTCTATGATGAAAACTTTAAAATCCTGAAAAAGGAAATTAAAGCAGAAATAAGGAAGTGAAAAAAACGTATCAGTATCCTAACCTCATTCTTCAAGGAAATAGGCAATCCAAAAATTCATATGGAACAATAAGAGACCCCAAATAGCAAAAAAAAAATCTTAGCAGAAACAACAGTACTGACAGAATATCAATACCAAACTTTAAACTCTACTACAAAGCCATAGTAATCCAAACAGCTTGGTACTGGCACAAGAAAAGACCTGAAGACCAATGGAATAGAACTGAAGACCCAGAAATGAACCTAAAGACCTATAGCCACCTAATCTTCAATAAGGGAACTAAAAAAATAGAATACAAGAAAGACTGCCTCTTCAATAAATGGTGTTGGCAAAATTGGTTAACCACCTGTAGAAAACTAAAGGTAGATCCTTATATTTCACCCTGCACCAGAACCAACTCCAAATGGATCAAAAACCTCGAAGTCAAAGCAGACACCCTGAAAACATTACAGGAATGAATAGGAGAAACTCTAGGGCTCCTTGACACAGGCCAAAATTTTCTTAATAAAGACCCAGAAACACAACAAATCAAAGAAATGTTGGACAAATGGGAGTGCATGAAATTGCAGAATTTCTGCATGGCAAAGGACATAGCTAGCAAGACCAATAGCAACCCACGAATTGGGAGACGATCTTCACTAGCCATACAACAGACAAGGGTCTTATATCTAAAATATACTTAGAAGTCAAAAAACTAAATCCCCCCAACAACCAATCCTGAAAGAAACAACTGTCCGATAAATAGGTGGTCTTTAGTCAACTTCTCTGAAGAGGAAATAAGAATGGCCAAAAGACACATGAAGAAATGCTCAACTTCTCTAGCCATAAAAGAAATGTAAAACAAAACAAAATTGAGATTCCACCTCACCCCAGTTAGAATGGCTATAATCAAGAAATCTAGTAACAAAGATGCTGGAAGGAATGTAGCCAAAAGGGAATCTTTCTGCATTGTTGGTGGGAGTGCAAACTTGTGCAATGACGTGGGAAAGCAGTATGGAGGTTCCTCAACTGACTTCACATAGAACTCCCCTATGACCCAGCAATCCCACTTTTGGGCATTTACCCAAACGATCACAAGCAGGGCTATACTAAAGCTACCAGCACAGATATGTTTATTGCAGCATTCATTATTTACCATAGCTAAGATATGGAACCAACCCAGATTCCCTCAGTAGATGTATGGATCAAGAAAATGTGGTATATACAATGGATTCTATCCCTCCATCAGAAAGAATGACATCACCCCATTTGTTAGGAAATGGAAAGACTTGGAAAAAATTGTATTAAGTGAAGTAAGCCAGGCCCAAAGAAACATAGGTCCCATAGTTTCCCTAATTTGCAATAACTAGTATTAGTCTAGGACAAGGAGAAAAGGTCAAAAGCTATGTACATATGACCATATAAGATGATGTTAAGTGAAATGAACCCCAAGATAGGGACACAACTTGTTTTTTCTTTCTTGCTAATGTTTTTTAACATATTTAAAATGTACTATATGATTTTGGGGGGGGACTGGTATGTTCTTTCCCCACAGTATAACCCGTTTTCACTGTATTTCATTCTAGTCCCTGCATCTTGTATATACATTTGTCTAATTTGGAGAGGAGAAGGGAAATAACAAAATGCTGAAATAAGGATATAGGTTTGCTCATTGTAATAATGAGATGTACAAGACTTTACAACTTGGAGGGAGGGTGAGTGGGTAGTTGAGGGGATGGGGAGAGAAGGCTCGATAGGAAATGTACTCGTTACACTATTCATGTAACTGTAACCCCTCTGTCCACTATTTTTACAATAAAAAACATTTAAAAATCTAAAAAGAAACAAACAAAATGAAACAATGACTTTTTTGACTCAATTATATATGACATTAGCATATATACATAATGTTGATGATTAACAACAGTTTTCACTTAATCAAGATGCACAATTAAGCTTCTGGTATCTTTACAAGTTTATTTCAGAGGTAAGATAGTATTTAACTTAAAAGTAATTTAGTCAACAGCATTTTTTAGAATCATTAGTTTAACAAACTGTGGTCATACACAGTCAGAAAACAAAGAAGTTTTTCTTCATGAACCAAAAAAGTTTGCCTTCACAAACCGAAGTTTTATCTTCATAAATCAAAGAAAATATGTATATGGAAGTGATTCTTTGAATATATGGGAAGAAAAGAGCTGAGGACATAATTCAAGTGTTTGCCTGTCATTTATGAAGCCCTGAGTTTGATCCCTAGCACCATACATACAAAAAAATTTATTGGAATTCAAGACTGAAAAATACTATCTATATAATACAAACCAGGAACAGAGGTTCTTGTCTATAATATCTGCTACTCAAGGAACAGAGACCCAAAGTCACCACTGGATACCAACCAGATAAAAAGTAATCTTTGGGAAAAACAAACAAGTATGGCCGGGCGCAGGTGGCTCACTGTAATCCTAGCTACTCAAGAGGCTGAGATCTGAGAACCAAGGTTCAAAGCCAGCCCACCAGACAGGAAAGTCCATGAGATCTTATTTACAATTAACCACCAGAAAACTGGAAGCGGCTCTGTGGCTCAAGTGTTAGAGTGCTAGCCTTAAGGTGAAGAGCTGAGGGACAGTGCCCAGACCCACACTTCAAGCCCCACCCAGGGCCACAGTTCAAGCCCCACGACCAAAAAAAATTAAAATAAAAATAAAACAACCAGGTATGGCCTCATGCATGTGTGATCAAATTTGTAGGAAGGAAACATCAATCAATAGTATCTTGGTCTGAGACACCTGTAGAAAAATTGCAAAGCCCTACTTAAGAAATAACTCCAATTAAAAAAGGACTGGAAGTGTGGCCAAGTGGTAGAGTACTTGTCTCGTAAGCATAGATTTTTGAGTTCAATTCTGAGTATCATAAAAAATATTGTCACAATATAGAAGTAAATAATTACCAATCATCACTTACTATTTTGTTTCCTAACTTTCCCATACAAGCTAAGTCTTTTTGACAATTCAGATTTGTCCATGCATAAGCTAAAAGGTTGAAATGTTTTTAAACTACTATTCTGAGCAAAGTTGACATTATAATTGCTAATTTTCTGATCAATTTTGAAATTAAAACTAATTTTCCACACATCATAAATCAAAAATACTATGTTTTCAAACTTAACAGTACACCCTATCTAATCAAAATACCTCTTTGTCATTGTATATTCTGGATTTTGAAATACAGTCTAAACTGGTGGTAGCAGAAAATCATATAAAAACCTTAAACCTGGTATGAATAAGTTTACCTAGACCAAATAACTTTTATCAATGAATGAATGCAAGTAACAGAGAATCATAAATTCTGAACCTAATCTGTACTTATAAAAATAAGATATATTAAATATTGTAACAAAAAACTGTTAACATTAGACCTGGGGTAAAGCTTAATGGTAGAACACATACTTAGCATATATGAAGCCCTGTATTCAATTCCTAGTAGTACTGAAAGGAGAGAGAGAGACAGAGAGAGATGACAGACAGAGAGAGACAGAGAGAGACAGAGAGAAAGCAAAGAGAAACATTTATCCATTTATATTACCAGTATCATAAACAGGATAAAATTCTAAATTACTAAGAGAGAACATAATATAGTTTAGTAAACCAAAGTTGTCTACCCCAGAAACCATACCAACTATTCATACTACTTTAGTGCTGATGAGACAGCAAGAAAGAGGCGCAGATAGGTAAGCAGATGCTCGGTTGGTGGAAGACAGACCAACAGATAATTTGGTAAGTGGTAGGAATGGATGTGGTTGCAAGGCCCCTGTGGATCACACTATTATATGGTCAGTACTATAGATATCATTTGGCTCACAGCCTGACTATCTCAAGGTTATCACAGCAATACTAGACCAACATCCAAGACTCCTTCCTTTTCCTCACAAGATGGTCACAGATGGAGGTGGAACTCCCTGTTGAGAAGGGATTTGTTGATAGCTTCAGCAAGGGTGGCATATTCAGGAATTCCTAAATAAATCTGATTCAGAGGCCTCTACGATTACCCTTTTATCTTTCTGCCAGTATAGTGCCTCATGTTTGCTCGACTTGCTTTCTCAGCTGCACCAACTGTATTTCAGTCATGCCTCCAGCCTGATTTTTTTGCTGGTTATTTTAGAAATGGGAGTATCTTGGACTTTCCTGTTAGGGCTAGCTTTGAACCACAGTCTTCCTAATCTTAACCATCTGTATATGTACAATTATAGGCATGAGCAGAATCTCACAGACATTGCTGCTCAGGCTGGCTTTGAATTGAGATCCTCAGATCTCACCCTCCTGAGTAACTAGGATTACAGGGGCATGAACCACCAGCACCCATTCTTATGTTTGTCTTAATTTAGGAAATGGCTATGAGAAGTAAAAGGAGAGGAAGGAATTAGATGGTAAGTCCATATCCCTACCACCTACTATATCAGAGCATAAGCAATATGATAACTTCTGGTGAAATCGAAGTGTGCTTGCCCTTCCTGGTTTTCCATTTGAACACAAGTTGGCAACCTATGAGATAATGTAAGTAGACAATAAGAATGGTTAAGGCAAATTACAAATTAAGGAAAGATGCTACCAGATATCTACAGTTCAAGCCCTAGGACCAGCAGAAAACAAAAACAAAAACAAAAACAAAACTGAACAGCAGATGTCTAATATAAGTCCAGTTCTTCTTACCCTCTCATCATTTTCTATCCCAGTATTATATTAGCACACACACACAAAGAGGAGGAAAGTGGAGGAATCAATTAAATATAGCAAGTACAGTTCATCTCGGAAGAATCTCTCTCAAATTCCTCTCATAACTTCAGTAATTTCATAGCTTAGAACTAAAGACTATGCTGAGAAGATGAAAGTGAAAGTGGATCTAAAATTAGCTTGTTTCATAGCACCTAAGTGAAACAAGCTAATTTTAGATCCCTAAATTAGTTTGTTTCTTGGAGACCTTTTCAGTACTCCTTACGTACTACATCACGTAGAGTTTACAGTCCACTCACAACTGCAAGTAGGAGCTATTCATGTGATGCATCTGTCTCCTAAAAAATGAGTCGAAAACATATCATAAAATTTAGAATCTATCTGGCAGACCAAAGGACAAAAACACTTCAAGTTTTTCCAATACCAAATTACCACGCTAGAAGGTTAGACAGTGTCCACGTGAGGGGCCTACTTTATTTCCTACTTACATCTCAACATCAATTTTCAGGCCACCCCAACATTTATGATTACATGTCTTTTCTTCCATTGCTATTCAACCTACACATTCAACATTCAAGTAATAAAAATTATTTATTTGCCTAGGATATGTTTTGAAAGTGGAATGTGTATAAACTGGGACATATTTCACAGAAATGCAAATGTAAGAGAAAAATTCTTCAAGAAGTATGAAAAGCTTAATTTACCAAATGAATCTGATCTGAGAAACAGCATAAAGCAACTATAAAACAGAATAATTTGCTAAAATGTGTACTGAAAGTCATTGAGGCAGCTTTGTAACTGGTTTGAGGCCATGAGAAAGCTGAGCATTTGTTTAATCACTTGCAACAAAGCCAAAAAGGCATTTATTAGCCTCAAAAAGTCAACTCAACAAAACTCTGTTTTCTGCTTACCCTATACAAAGCAATATTCTGTGCACTGGAGATGCAGACAGGAATTACACACATCCCTGAACACCAAGCATTCAAGGTCAATGAAGTCAGAGGACTTTTGTCAGATTTAACAATATATAGTTCTCTCTGCCAGGGATTTTGTTGATGCTAACATACAAATACGTTCAAAGAATATGAATATTTTATAACACAAACTGAAAACTATTTCCAGACTACAGTTATATCACAATGCTTTAGGACATAACATTTTGATTTAATCTTTTATACTTTCATCTGGATTATGCAAGTTCTACTTTCTATTTAATTAGAACAGCATTACATAAAATTATACTATTAATTTCTCAGTATTGAGAGCAACTCTATTCAAATCATGGTTTTAATAATTTTCTTAACTTCACAAGAGGCTGACCCCCTTAAATATTTTTCAAATAAAACATTAAATAGAACGCTGGAGAGAATGAAGAAAAGGGTGACATTGATCAAGATGTATTGTACTCAGAAACTGACATGCTGAATTGAAAGTCCTTAGCACAACTACTTAAAGATAACATATTTTTAAAACCAAAGGCTTGTGCTCTCTCTTTGGAAACACATGTGAGGACCCCAGAGGCGCCCCCCCTTTTCGAGCCCTTCAGTGACCACTGGACACTTTAGAATACTAAATATGAGAAACAGAGCTTGAAAACCCCAATGCTGGACCCAGCTGAAAATCCAGATATTAGTATCTTTCCAGCTCTCACAGTTCCAGAAAACGGTGGGGCTTTGCCTGCAGGAGTCAATAGTCATTAGAGATGTCTGCAGGGGGCAGAGGACTCACAGCCTCTCTTCCAAGCACAGCAGAACAAAAAAGAATGGAAATCTGTTTCCCAAGTCAAACTCATGTCATATTATTTTTTTGCCAGAACTTAAAAAGTACTGATAACATTATCTATCACACTGGAACTGTAAATATTTATGCTTTAAATATTTACCATTTAAAGCATATTTAATACTTAAACAATGTTTCATTCTTTATCTCAATTGCAAAGTAATAGTCACATTTCTTATGATAAAAATAATTCACCTTCCATCTTGGTTTACAGTCTTTAGGCCTCCAGTGACCTCCTGGCTCAATATCTAAATCCTTGGAGAAGAGCTGATGAACTTCATCAAAACTGACTTCACTTACATTGACATTGAGGAATCCCCCTGTAAGTGGAAAACATGAAGAATTGTTGTAATATTTTTCAAAGATGCATGAAGGACAAAGACAAGTAGCTGGGTATAACCTAGCTGCCAGACATAGTTTATTCCCATTATCAACACGTGGCTATTTTCAGATGATAATTTACATGATCACCCTACTCTGTTTGGTTAAATCAGGCAAAGAAGATATCTATCTTTTTGCTTTTGATCAATACACTGGAAAGTTAATACTTCGGGAGGAAATGGTTGCATGTCCTAACAGTGTGTTGTTCAAATTTAATGATTCAAGTATTTTTAAACTTAGAACTGGAGATGCAACTCAAGTGGTAGAGTGCCAGCTATGAGGAAAAATGCCACGCCAAGTGAGAACTTGAGGTCCTGAGTTTAAGATATAGAATTGGTATGCTCTGTCTCTGTCTCTGTCTCTTTCTCGTTCTCTGTCTCTGTCTGTGTCTGTCTATCTGTCT